ATTAAAAACGCAAAATTACATCGAAGGATCATGTGATTTCCCCTTCTTTTTTACTTTTGTGGGTTAATCGTTTACCTCTGCACACACAAATAAATGGAACAAGGAAGATAAATTATTCTCTTTTTCCTAAAAATTCGATACCGTATCCTTCTTGTGATTATGCTTGATGTTTCTCCGTTTAAATATGTTTTCCGTTTTCTAATTTATTTACGCATGGTAAAAGATTCTAAGCCGTGATAGTGGTGCTCAGCCTGAAGCAGAAAACGTTTCTTTATAATTTTAAGGACAAGTAATTATCATTAACACTACAAGTGCTTGCATTTGCTTCAAAGTGCGTGCGAGGTGAATTCGACCATAAAAAGCATATCTTTGAACAAAGTGCAGGTAGGGGGGAAAGGGTTTGTTCCCCTTTTACTAGTTATTTGACACATGAAGAAGTATGGGCTTTGAGCTGATTGAGTCTAAAAACAGATTTTGACCTGTATGGTCATCAATTAGGTATTGTATTTTAATGAAAAAACTGATGTCTCTTTAACTCCAGATGAATAACAGAAATAACCAAAAGAGTTACTCAAGCGGAATTTTCGGTTGAGCTTTACCAATTTTTTTGTGAAATAGGGTCAGGATTTTTCTCCTCGAGGCCTTTTCTTTATTGCCTCTAGCAGTATCATGGATGCTTGTGGTTTATTTCGTGAAAGGGGAGACAGAAATTCATTACTGTGAGGCAAAGTAGCAAGTAGTAAAACTAAGTTATATTCATGTATCCGCCGCATCCAATCGCGAAATTAAGAGGAATGCAAACCAATTATGTGTAATTTGTATCTTTCCGTTGCCGTGAAGAATTTTCGTTAATTAGATTAATTTCAATTTTTTTTCCCTAAAATGAATATATATTTAAGATTAAGTGAACTACATCTGTTTGGAATCTCTGGCCAACCCTGAGCTTAGTCTTCGTTAATTCTCAATGGAACCAAATGCTAAAACCTGTTGTTTTCCGTGTAGAATTTTGTTTGGTTAAGATTCTCTTGCCCTAATTCAAATTCTCTTCAACTTTGTTTTGTCGCGTGTCAAAGTTTCTCCAGAGCAAGCAATATGTAAATAATATACAAAATGCAAATGAAACATAACTCGAGTTTTCATTGTCCAACATGGAAGGTTGTATGATGTTTGTGAAATTGCGAGACCATGTCTAAAATTTGGTATTTTTTATGAAATAACCAAAGCTTGGTAATTTAGTCTTTTTATCTTAATAGCTGAGATCAATCAGGTCGGGTTTGTCTTCTATCGGTTTCACTTCCTTTTTGATAATAGAACTGTTTGACTTTCAGCCACAAGTGTTTGGGTTTAAAAACGTTTCTTCTTCTTGTCGGCGACTTCAAACATTACATTCCCTTCATTTAGAAAATCTTTTAAACGTATCACACTCTAACGAGTAGATTTTCCAGGTTTTACTGTCAAACTATGATACAGGTGCCTATCATGGGTAAATCAAATCCTACTTTATCACTAAGGGCGGAATTATCGTACAGTTATTTCGAGAAAATCAATCTGTTAGTAAACAGCCTTTTATGCTTACAAAAAGAGAATAACATGTTAAAAGTATGATGTCATACGCCAGATTTGCTGATTAACCTACGTCCTTAGAATAAGGTCTTCCTTTCAAATATACAACACAATAAAATAATTCAAAATTGTACAAAAAAATTCAAAAATACTCGAACTCACGATTCCAAAATTATTTTTTAAGTCATTCGTTTTTTCATGAACACAAAAACTAAACAAAGTATGAGGAGAAAATGATGGCACATTATTTTCTCTTGAAAGTACATAGCAGGCATATATTGTATGGGCGTGTAGATAATTTTCTACTGGTTTTCCTGGAACCATGCCAAATCTAGATACAAAACAGTGATATCACTCTGCTATGGCTTATATAGGCCTCATACTGAGTAACTTACTAATGGCACCCATGAATATGGGAAAGTAGCCTCTATGTGCATGATCAAGTCCTATTTGAAGAAAAAATTGGCTACAAAGTAGTTGCAACAACAGCATAAGAAAGGATCTTTTTTAATGACAGCAGAGCCTTAAAATAACGGTACAACCAGTAAATAACAATCGTGTCGCACAGTATTTTATTTCTGATGCCTTTAAGCTTGTAACATACTACAAAATTAGAATTTGTTTAGTCTTGTATCAAGCCAAGTTGTTAAGATATTTTGCATATCCGGCTTCCAATGTTAATCTTAAAACGAAGGCAGCAAATCCATCTTGGATAAAGTAAACAGGTCTCGTTGAAAAACATGCAGACATTACTTTTAGTAAAGAGTCAGTTCAGGTATGTTCTTTGATCTTGATGACACTTTTTGTGCACTTTAGTTTAAACTGAAATGTCATTTTGAAGATGATCTACAGACAGTTCTAATGGTAATGATAAATTTATATTAGCTATGATTAAACGTCGAAGATGAAAACACCAAAAATTGTCAAAGGAATTTCACCAAATAATCACCGACGGTGAATGAGAACATGGTTCGGATAAAAAAAAAAAAAAGTCAACACCAAGGTTTCTGAGAGAAGCACAGTATGAAAACGTTATTTAAAAAAGATCAAATAGCTGAATCAACTTGAAAGTTAACTTGAAATGACTGATTTAAGAATATATTCAAAGAAATAAGATTGCAGAAAAATATGGTTTTGGAATCATAGATTTTGAAAAAAATCATTCTTCTTTGCCAAAATTCGTTTCTTTACAAAAAATTCAAGAAAAAAGAAGAAACTATTAAGAGCATCACTCTTCTGAGTGCCCCCTGATTTTTGATTATCATGAACGTAAAAAGGAATCAATAAACATTGCTGAAATTACCCAAATAAGTAATTCAATCTTACGTCAAGGAAAGGAAATGGAAAATTGGATATTTTGTAGCGTGGGCCTCAATTTGGTGCAACCTGTACTTGGGGTTCATGCAAAACTACCACGCTGATTAACCTTTTAGAAACATGTATTATTCATGAATTCATAACTTCCTTTTATTTCGTCTCGTTTAAATTTCAAACAGTTGTGCTTTTTTATCCATCTTATTTAGTGAGGCATTAGGCTGATCCATCTTTGTGCAAACATTGATTGCATATTTTAACTTGTATGGCCGTTTAAATAGTACAGTTTTCCATGATGTTTGTCTCAATGCGTTCTAAACATTTGAATGTTATGGACGAAAAAAGTTTTACGAACAAACACAATAATTGATCATAATTGTGAGATCTATTATTGGATTGTACGACTTTATTTTCTGCTCCCTTTTCAAAAACGCTGTGGTATGGTGATTCAGTACAATATAGTCGTTTCTGGAGCCAGAAGCCAAGAAATTAAACAGCTTTTCTTCATACTTGGCATACTACGTGCTTCGTATCATACCTTCAGGATAACTTGAAACCGCTTTGTAAAGAATATATTGAGCATTGATCGATAGCAAATATTTATTCCAGCTTAAGAATGAATTGGAATCATCCTTGTAAGAACTACATTAAACCCTTTATTTCTGACTTTTTATTTATCAAATGTAGAATTTGATAGCGAATGATTGCATTTGGACACTTTAAAAAATTTAAAGATAAGAATAACACGTTCATGCCTTCTATGAAAATGCTATATCCTTCAGAATGGTTGACGAGGGAATTTTGACAATACACAAAATATCTTCTATCTGATACAGAAGTACAAATGTGCAAAAAAAAATTAAGAAAGAAGCTAGCGATGTTGAAATTGAGCGACGTTTTTTATAAAGAGGTTGTGGAGAAAGAAAGTTATGCGTATTGGTTAATTCACTTTTAGCTATTCCACACTTGTGAGGTTGAAAATAATGAAAGGTAGTCGTGGCTAATGTTGCGGATCAGTTAAGTCATCATTAAAAAAAATACGCTATAAGACTGCAATGGGTGTTTCAAAGACGAATTTTTGTCTTAATAATTTTGAAAAACAGGCTAATTCATTAAGTGTGTTTAGGAAGGTACTCACTTATTTCATTTCGTTTGCAGTAGATGTTTCTGGATTATTTTGGTGTTTTTGTGTGCAAAATGGTGTGTATTTTCTATTGGTTTCTGTTCTCTACTTGGTTACACTTATTTGGCAAAATTTTTTTTCGGGTCTTTGAAGATAGGAAAGTTGAATTATGAGAAGGAAAATTCCACTTAAGCCATACAACAAAATATCCCAACGCTATCTAAGATCATTTGACTTTCTGGCAAATTTAGTTATTTGTAAGGCTCTATGGCAATTAAGCTCTGCAATGCATATATTAGCTTCATGTCAAAAGGTATGAAATTACCAACATTTCAGCATATCTATGCAAAATCCCCACTGACCGTTGAGAAATCTTAGTTGCCGAATGCAGGCTTGCCACTTCTCATTAAATGTAGAAATCCTCCATTTTATTTTCGTTAAATTTTAGTATTCGTGAAAAATAAAACTCTGAATGCATTTTTTTGAGTGTGTGTGTCCACTTAAGGGCAGGAAATGCCAAAAAATTAACTAAAAAACAACATTTCTAACGTAGAAATAAAACACAATCAGGTTACTTCCCACGTAGGGGGGAAATTATCCAAGTTAAGTACGCAATACCCTAATACAAATACCATGTCGCGCAGTGAAAGCCTCCCTTGAAAAAAATCAAAATTATCAAAATATTGATTCTGATTACGAAAGTCCACACTCGTTGAGGCAGAGATATTTTCTTAAGTGTTGTCTCTTTTCGATTCTATCAGAAGTGTAAATATCATTAACTCGTAGCGATATTAGGGACGTCACAGAAAAACACCTCAGGGTACTTTTATAAAACGTAATTAACCAATTTGCTTTAACTCAGTCTGGCGCCTGGCGCTACCTATTGTTCAAGCCTTTATTTACGTTAATGAAAGATAGTTTATTATTTTTTTGTGTATATCAGAAACATTTCCGTTTGTTATACCAAGCGGGATATTAAATGAGAACACGTTGCTCTTTTTTCGACAAACCTTTGTAAGACTGTGGCGAAAAAGATCCTTCATCGGACAGAAGATACAAATCTCCATGCTCTCTTAGAAAGACATCTATCGCCTTAAAGTGAGCAACCTCAGGACTAGCGATTTATTTTAGGTAGGCTTGATGTTTCTTGTCACTTACTGACTCATTTTTACACTTGGAATACCAACTGCGACTCTTGTAGATGGCAAGTGTTTTTATATTGTGCTTGCCATTCTGTTGAACAGATATTTTTTTGTCGACTGAACTCTCTTGCTCTCTACACTCTGCTGCCGCCTTACATCTACTGATATTTACCTTTTGAAGGTCCCAAATTATGCAAAATTGGTCAGATTTTAAAAAGAAGGAAAAAGATAAAACTCTGTTGGAGATCATGAAAGATCCTTATTTCTTTTTTTCTTTTTTTGAGTACCTACTTATCAATGACTGCATTACAAGTATCCCTTTAAACTTTTTCTTTAAAAAAAAAAAAAAAAGGGAGACAAACCAGTGTGACCCTTTAGTCAAACTGGGGAAATTAGATTTCTGGATTTTAGTAATTTTTGATAAATCGAATTATTGACACCCAACCTTTTCACTCCCATCACTAACTTTGTTTTTACCTTGTAGACGCACTAATTTTGTTTGAACTAACCAAGCAATCAAAAGGCCCACACGACTCAAGCAATTTCAATTCAGCCTGTTTCATTGATTACCATGTAAACTCAGAAGCTAATTTCATTTGATAAACTTGCAAACAACAAAAGCTGTATGCTAGTTTTAAAAACAAAGGAACAGTAGATTAGAAATTCAACTTTATTCCAGTGACTCTAGGGGGAAATATTCACATCCAGCCATCATTATTTCTCGTTTATGAACTAACAAAAATTATCTATTTAAATTCGTAGTAGCCTGGGAGGGTAGTCACGACAAACGAAATTGGCTACATTATAAATACGGAAATTTGGTTTGTTTAATAGTTTGCTTTGGGGGCAAATATTTTTCGGAAATTAAGGAAAGAGGCGACGATAGAACATGTTTGCACAACTGAAAAAAAAAAGAATCTTCATGAACCATAATAACTTTATGTCCGCTTCCGTCTGAGTTAGTAAATAATGTTTTGCAGAAAAGGCTACAATATATTACAATTTGCCCGATTTTCATCGGTTAGAAAACCATCGTTTTCGGTGGGTAGGTTTGATCACGTGTTTTAAGGGTACTATAAGTCATAAGTCACATGTAAAATAGTCGTAAATTTAACAGTTTCCAAGGATGGTTACTTGTCCATTATAGACTGAATTTCCAAAACCAATCACATTCAATATATAATTTGAACATATCAACAAAGTTGAAATGGTAAATTGGCCACCGTTACGATTATAAAAGCTGACGTTTCGAGCGTTAGCCCTTCGACGGAGCGAATAGAGGAATTGCGGGTTTTGTGTGCCTTTAAAGGCAGTTACCCCAACTGACGCAGCCCCAAACAGTTTCTTTAGAAACTATCAGCCTTTATACATTCAATATATCTCAGATATCTTGGTCAAAGAGCCGTGACAAACTCTGTTATCGCCACACTACAACGTAAGTATACCAACTGACCTACAGAGAAGGTTAAATGGATTTGGGCCAAACTTGCAATTGGCCAATTTGACGGTAATACCCGGTATACCACTATTGTGCTGGTTTTATAGATAACATCAATTGAATGAGCATTTTATCTTACAGAATGCCAGCTTTTAAAGTCATCGTCTTCTTTTTGGTTCTTTTGGCGATGTGCAACGCTCGACGATCCGAATTCACGGATGAGGACAGCGCTGTAAGTGAGCTCCATCAGCGAGGAGACGCACTTGATGAAACGAGGAAACAGCAAAACAGCGTGGAGGAGGAAACGTTAAACACAGAAGCTGATGACATACAGCATCTTCCAGAATCCCACAGCAATAAAAGGAAAGACGATTTTCCCGGAATGTTGGAAAGATCTACTGAGTATCAAAACCAGGCGCAAAAAATTGGCAACGATTTACCGTTTGGTCCCGAGCAGGAGGATGAATCGGAAGATCATTATCAAGACGAGAGTCCATCGGTCTTTTCAGCACGGAACAAGGCGGAACGACGAGAAATTATTTACGGCCCTGGTCTTTGGGATAGGGGATTGGATAACAGGCCCCCGGGTCTTTGGGGACGGGGATTAAGTAACAAGCCCCCAGGTCTATGGGGTAGAGGATTGGAAAACCGTCCTCCGGGTCTGTGGGGGAGGGGATTACAGAACCGTCCTCCAGGTCTTTGGGGACGTGAAGTTAGAGGAAGTTCAGCTCTAGGCCTTAGAAACGCAAATAAACCCCCAGGACTCTGGGGTCGGGGATTGCGAAGTAGTCCCTTAGGTCTTTGGGGACGGGAGCTCAATAATAAACCTCCTGGACTCTGGGGTAGGGGATTGCAAAATAGACCCCCGGGACTTTGGGGTCGGGAAATTGAAAAAGTCTCTAAAGCATCAAAAAGGGAACTAATTGGCGTAAAAAGCACGGAAGAAGACGGAAATGAAAGCAAAGAAGATATTCAAGAATTGAAATGAAGTGATATGTTTCTCTCGAATGAAAATTATAATCTGGGCAACGGTGACAACTGAACTTTAGAATTTCGTTTCATTAAGGTGTGAATGAAATGTTTTGTTTAAATTAAATCAAAGTTGTGTTTAAAACTATCTAACGAACAAAAATAAGCAGTCAAACAAGGCTAGTTCCTCATCATTTACAAACTGTAGTATAGAAAAGCCGTCCCCACTCTTGTAGAATCACATTAGATTCGGAGTTATCTATAAACTGTACAAATTTCAGTCCAAGTACAAATAAATGACAACTTACACTAATCTAACCACATCTATTAATTAGATAATTTGGTTAGGCAGGGGACGTTAAAGAACGCACTCACGAGATTACTGTGACGTGGTCTGGCCTGTTTACTGGGAATTGGGGGGACGGGGCATCTTCAGATCAAGTTTCCTTCGATTGTTTGTAAACTGCTGATGCAGTCTGGCCAAAGACCCCCGAACAGTGTTGTGATGCGCATTTGATCATATCGACATGTTAATTTGCGCAATATAAATATTAAATTATTATTATGATTATCATTTTTGATCTGATAAGAGTATTTGAATTGTTTTTATGAATTTACAATGAAGCTAAACATAAGATCCTACCGCACATCTCTGGTTGTTTAGCAACAGTAGTCTATTAAGTAATGAGCTCTTAGCAACAGCGACTTTGCTACTTGCCACGAACAGTTCTACCAATCCCAGAGCGCTTTGACTGGAAAACCAGTCTCCAGGTTTCCAGATCGATTCAATTTATTGTCATTTAATTTTCACTGACTTTCGCATTAAGTGACACTTTGATAAAACGAATATTCATTTTAATATTTAAATATTTCAGAAATGATTACCACATTAACAACTAGTTTCTGACCACACCACACGGCACCATTCCACCATTCCACCATTCCACCATTCCACCATTCCACCATTCCACCATTCCGGCCGTGCGATCACTAATAGCAGTAAGACTGTTTTTATAAATTGACAATGACGCAAAAAATAAAATGCTACCGCACATCTCTGGTTATTTAACAACATCAGGAGGCCAAGTGATGGGCTCCTGGCAACAATGACTATGCCACTTGCCATGAACAGTTCTACCAATCACAGAACGTTTCATTTTGACAGAAAAAAAAAGGTCGCCAGGTTTCCAAATCGATTCAATTTAGTTTTCACTGAATTTTGCATTAAGTGACACTTTGAGAAATTGAATATTCAATTTAATATTGCAATTATATTTCAAAAATGATTACTTCCATGATAACTTGTTTCTGACTACGCCACGCGGCACCTGATTCCGCCATGCGATCACCAATAGCAAGTCCTACATCACGTCGAGCGACCTGAAAGTGGTCGTTAGTTAGTTAGTTAGTCATAAAAAGGAATAGAAAGCAATTCAGCAATATAGAAAAGGAGTTCCTATCGGGAAAAACTAGAAACGAATTAGGAGATTTCAGCGGACTTCCCCGTTGTCAACGACTTGGTTAGGAAATTTCGGTTTGGTTCATTTGAGCACAAGCTGTACTGGCCAGTAACACTGCTGAGGGGAAAACAGAAAATTACAAAATAACAACCCAACAGTGACTTGACGTGGACCTACCAAAACTTCCTCCCGGTGACGAAGATAGTTATTCTAACGGTGAGACTTGTTCTTAACTACTGGGTTCTTGCAAAATGTTTTTGAATCCATAGCGTTTTATTTACTGAACAAAGCACTTACAGTATGAGCTGTGAAATGCATGGCAAACCGTATTATGTGTGGCAAAACCAATTATCATTATAGTCTTTCATTAGCTGTTTTATTCGTTTTGTTTTGTTTTGTTTTGTTTTTTCATATACCTATTCACTCTTTGGAGCGTGTTGGTGCGAAGCCAGCTCCCGTATGCTTGTTCGGTGTCGGTGAATCGCCCGCGCCTCTTATTTCGTTCGCTTCGGAATAAACTATTGTTGGGGGGTTTTACGGCTCGCTCGGACAAATTAACGAGAGGTGCCAAGACTCTGTATATTTCTTCTTTTATTCTCTTCTGGAGAGCTACTACAGCAACGCTTTATGCATCTGATACTCTGTGCATCTATGCTCTACGCATCCATTATATCATGCGAGAGGTACTAACGCTTTAAGTAGGAAAACCGTAGACGTGTTTGGGTTAGCTGACTGTGAGAGTTTCCGCAGTGTATCCGTTTATTTTGCAAAAAGGGGGAAACTGGTTAGCCCTCACCGAAGTCACTTGGCGAGCATCGAGGAACCAATTAAACGTTAACAGCTGCGCACAAGAATTGCGCATACAAACCAATTGAACGCTAACAGCTGCGCACAAGAATTGCGCACACAAACAGGAACTTCAGTGTGGGTAGAACTCAAGGTCAGCTTTACCAATGCAAATACAATCATCTGTGAAACTGTCTAATTGTCTTAATGTCTAACACGGTAACAAAGAAATCCGTGAGCTGAGCCACAAAAAACATAAGTCTACCAAAACAACACGTAGGCGCAACAGGCAAGGATTAACAAAACAAAAGGCTTAACTAGAAAAGTCTCAAAATAACAACGTTCAATTCACCTCTCAACATTCCACCCCTCCCCCCCTCTACCCCCACCTAAATCGGGCATCGTCCTCGATGCGGACGGGAAGAAAAGGCTTCGTTTGGAACATATACTAAGTCGATAATCAACTAATCCTCGGTGAATTAATGTACATAAAAACTGATTTTAAGAATCTTTGTAAACATATGTCAGTTGATGCCTAAGTCCTTCACTCGACCGTCAATCGGACCGTTTAAAATCATCTACACTAGAGGCTGACATCAGATCTTCGAAAATGAAAACGTTTTCAAACTCTTGTGACGCACGAATAGTAAGGTTACGAGCCAGAAAAAGGTAACGAGAAGCTTTCAGAGCGAACAACACTTTGCAGAGTTGGTTTTCTGCGAACGAATTGCAGTAGTCACGCGGAAAAGTTACGCGAAAGACGTCGCTCAAGATTCGTTCATGGACCATGAAATAATGACAAACTTGGATAAACTCGGGACGTTATCTAACTCCCAGTCTAACGATCGACTGAAACCCGAAAATAACCCTAAAAAGAAATTAGTGGTTTGCCACGAGAAAGGGCGGTTAAAGCGAAAAACTGGTGTTGCTTGCCCCGAACAACAGGCGTCATATCCACATTTAAATGAAGCAAAAAGACCGCTAACTGACGCTAAATACGCAGCTGTGGCATCGTTCAGAATTGTAGAGAAATTAAGTAAGGTCAGTGCTATTACGTAATGCATTATCGGAAGTTCAGTTCAGTTCCTTGAATGGTTCGTCTTGGATAAAAGCAGCTCCAGAATCTATTAAACAATGAAAATCACGACCCTTAATAGTAACAGGTAGGAGGGAACTTTCAGGCACAAAAGAAATACAAATATCATCGACTTCGTCCTCCACGAAATTGTCAACGCGACTCGAGTCCGGCTTCACAAAAGAATCCGCAGAACTGGAGCAGAGATGGGTTGTGATGCTAGAATTATCCAGCATCACTAGGTGAACTTGTAGACCCCTGTTCAGCTATCTTATTTTGCTTAACACTGTGTGACATGAACTCCGAAATAACAATATCGTCACTACTCAATATATCATCATTAAAAATATCTGCTTGCTAAAAAACTAGGCTGTTTTCTTCAACAACAACACTTTTAAAACTTGGAGGCTCTTCCTTTGAGACCTTACATAAACACTCAGCAGTTTTATCCTGAATAGACAAGGCAGAAGAATTAGGCGTACTGGCGCCTGAAAATAAAGCTGCATGTCTTTTACTAGACACCGGCGGTCGTATTCAGTACATCCACCGTACTCGTTATGACTATTTCGAACAACTCAAGTAGTTTAATGATAATAGCGAAAACAATGGATAAAATAACGATGATGCTACTCTCCAAACAAGTGCCTTGTTTTTGTCTACCGTTCTGAGTAGCTTGACTTGATGAATGTTTTGGCGAAATTTGACAATTACCTTCAACAACATGTTTCGCTAAATCAATTCTCTCATCTATCGAAATATCGGCAGGCTTGGCTTTACTGAAAGCAAGTTTATCAGCATTGCACGATCCTACCGATAAAATTCGGTCTACAAGTTTCATTAAAGGTTTTTTGCACAGTATTTGACGCCCCCGTCGCGGGTTCATTTTCTAACAAGACAGGGGCACTTTTCAGTTTCCCTGCTGCTTAGACTGCCATTCAGAAGTATTTTGACCTCTATTCTGATAAAAGTTTTGTCTACTACCTCCACGACGAAAATTTCCAGGACCAGATTTTGAGCGACAAAAATAATAAGTGTGTCCTTTTCGACCACAATTATAGCAAACGGCATCGCCAAAGCGAGACCGGAAACTTCTTGGCTGAAAAGTCTGGTTTGAGCGCTGATTATAACCACTGGGTCTAATATTAGGAGTACTTCCCATTAACTCGCGAAATTCGTCTCTAATAATTTGCTTCATCTCAGACTTGTTCACGTAAGGGTTTTGACATAGAGCTGGACGTACAGCACTGATTGACTTATCATTTAGAGTTAATTGCTTTTGAGAGCTCTTCCAGAATTTGCGCCGATACCTCCTTTGGGTTAAAATCTGCGCGTTTACTCGACCCTTGTAATACTGACTCTTTAAACTTAGCGAAGTTTTCTGCCGATTTCAAATTTTCAGGTTGTTGCAAAACAACGTACTCGCGAATCTCGGGAATGAGACCCTGGAAAAAATAGTGTGTCCACTCAGAACTAGGCAAATTAATTATCGCACAATGTATTCGAAGGCTATAGGCATAATCCGCAAACGATTCTTTCTCTAGTTGCCGTCGCTGCCCTAGCGCCCAGTGTCTTACGCGCCACTCACTAGCACCGGAGGCAAAATGCGTGATTAACTTCTCAGACAATTCTTCGAAAGACATCTCGTCGGCGCTCGGTAAAGTTTTAAACTAAGCGCTAGCGTAGCCCTTTAAATAAAGAGGAAGCCCTAATGCTAAACTTTCGTTGTCCCTACCATTTAGTCTACCGGCCCTCTTATAATTCCTAACAAATTCATGAGTCTCTTCGGATTCGTCACCTCTAAAAATTGGAAACGTAACTGACGATTTCACACCGCCGCTTCTATTTTGTGAATTAACCGAAGCTTGCATTCGTTCGACTGCTTGGCATAACTGACTAACTTGGTCTTCCATCTCTGCATAGGCTGGTGCAAGAGACAACTGATTTGAGTCTAAAGAATTCTGTCGATTATCAACAACCGAGTCATTACGAGCTTCGAG